CCAAGAACGCCTTGGAGGTCCGCTTTGAGGTCAGTCTGTACCTTACAGAGAAACATACAGCAGTAAGGGCTTAAGAAGCTGCCCGATGATGGGGTGCCTAGGTGGCTCAGTGGCTTAAGTGGCTGACTCCTGATTTCGGCTCAGGTCATGATCTCATGGTTGGTGGGATTGCATGGACCCCTGCATTGGGCTCTGCCCCGACAGGAAGCCTGCTTGGGATTCTCTCTCTGCCCCTCCCCGACGCGTGCCTGCTCTTTCTCTAAATAAATGACCTTAAAAAAAAGTTGCGTGATGTTACATACACGCATAGACTGTGGAATCCGGTCTGGAGTGGTCAGAGAGGGCTTCTGAAGAAGTCCTGACAGTAGGAAGCTCAAACCCCTAAAAGTAAGTCCTCTGCAGGAATGCAAGCAGGTACTCAGATGCACAGGAACATTTCTTGCCTCAAAGCTGGCATAGGTGAAGAGGGAGAAAGGGACTTTCTATAACTGAGACATCACCACCTCAGAGAAAGATTAAACTCAGATTATCACCAGGTATGGAGGTGGGACGACACCAGTGGCCAAGTGCCAAAGCCTGGGCATTTTCATGCTCCCTGCTCTTCTAGGACTGGGTTATTCTCAGGAAGAGATGCACATGTCCCAGGACAGAAGCCAAGGCATGCAGGAGCGCCTGGGTGGCTCAGTCGGTTAGGCGCCCAACTTGGGCACAGGTCATGATCTCACGGTTGGTTGGTTCGAGCCCCGCGTCAAGCTGTGCAGACAGCTAGCTCAGAGCCTGGAGCCTGCTTCAGATTCTGTGTCTCCCTCTCTCTCTGACCCTCCCCTGCTCACTTGCTCTCTCTCTCAGAAATAAATTTTAAAAATTAAAAAAAAAAAGCCAAGACATGCAGACAAGACTAGCACCACTGAGGCAAGTCCTACTAGTGTTTTCTCTCTACCCTATTAATGTGCCCCTCTCCCTCCTATTTCCTTCTAGAAAAGTGGAGTCTACATTTCCTTTTCTCTCCAGTAGAGCGGGCCAAGGGCTTGAGTGGCAGGTCCACCTCATTCTGTTTTACACACAATGAGAGATTTCACCAGTGCTCAAGCACAGAAGTGCATCTCATCCAGCTACCCTCAGGGATGATTTTGTCAATGTCCTTAGGATACTACAGAGAAACACTGCTCAACCAAAGGAGACATTCTGGACATTTCTAAAGGGGGAAGAGGGCCAGGTAGTAATGGGAACTGTTATGGTTTAATGGCTCAGCCAAAGTTGGGATACTGACCAAAAACCACCACTGGTCAGCATCCTGCTTCAGATGGAGTGGGAACTGAGCTCCGTGGGTAGACAGGCAGGCAGGCCTGGACTCCCTGTGCATGAGGTGAAGACAGAGGCAGCGAGGGCCTGGCCCCTGCTTCCTGAAACGAATTCTAAAAATAAATAAATAAGTACAAGAATGGCCACAACTGTTTCTGATTCAAAAGAAAGAAAGCTCTATTACCAACTTCAAAGTGTCCAAATTTCCTGCAACTTGTCTTTATTCGGCTCCAATTAGGTCAGTCAGAAGTCTCTCAACTTGCAGGTACACAGGACAATTGAAACAAAATTTCCCCCAAACTGTATTAATCTCCTAAATTCTTCAACGTGAAAAACAACCGAGTCAGTTGTACCAGGATGTCATTATTTTCTGGTACCCATGAATGAATGTTGAGACCATTTTCTCTTTAGCCTTTTAATACCTCTAATTAGATCACCTCAAAATCCTCATATTGCTTAAACTGTTTTTCTGAACCATTCTCCATATTCCTGTCTCATGTACCAAGTGCGTTAACACCCACTGCCATGCATAGCTCCTTCTCTAACTCATCACCAGACAACAGAAGGCAAGCAAGCCTGTCAGGGCTCAGTGGAAGGGTGTAGGAGGGGATGCTCATTGCGTATTTCTGCTCCACCTGCTGTTGGTTGTGGGAATTTCACAACCACTACATTAACTTTATGGCCTTTTAAAATTTATGACCCTTTTGCCACCAAAGGGCCATAAGGTTTTTGTTTTTCTTCCTTCCTCCCTCCTTCCTCTTCTCTCTCCCTTTCCCTTCTTCCTCCTCCCCTCCTTTTTAATGTTTTATTTTTTGAGAAAGTGGGGGAGGGGCAGAGAGAGATGGAAACAGAATCTGAAGCAGGTTCCAGGCTCTGAGCTGCCAGGACAGAGCCTGATGTGGGGATTGAACCCAAGAGCTGTGAAATTATGACCTGAGCCGAAGTCTGATGCTTAACCAACCAAGTGACCTAGATGCCCCTCTTTTTTTTAAAGTAGACTCCACACCTAATGTGGGGCTTGAACTCATGACCCTGAGATAAGCATCTCATGCCCTACAGACTGAGCTAGCCAGGTGCCCCATTTTAAAATGTATTATTTTTAAAAGGACCATAAGGTTTTTCACTGCTCAGGCTGGCTCACCTTAAGAGGATGGATGTCCCACCTCAACCGCTGATAGTCAAATCTGGGCCTTACACTGAGCTGTGTTCTAATCTGTATTACAAAGATTGGACTTTAATTTTTTAAGTTTTTAACAGCAGACATATTTTTTTAATTTAATAGGAGTGGTAACCTTGAGCAAATTCACATTCTCAACAACTCTGTGATGTGTACTGTGACAGCAACTACCTCACAGGGCTGATGTGAGGACTAAATGGGTTATGTGCTCAATCACCATTAGTCTGTCTTGTGGGGACAGAAATTGACCTAACAAGCCAAGGCCAATAGCTGTGTCCTCAGTACAAAAAACAGGGCCAGTACAGAGACAATGCTGATTGCTGCGTGAACCCCTGGAGACTTATGTGGAAAAGTGTTATGTTCTCTTGTTCTCTTTTAAGATCTCCAGTAGTATAGTGACCAATTCCATCTGTGTCTCCCATGTTCTGGAGGCTCGGAGGGTAGAACCAATGGATCTTTTGCACACCATGGTACTCCCAGTGCCGTGCATGGGGCCCAGGGATGAGCAGCTGTGGAGTTCAGACAGGCAGGGTCTAGGGCCTCCCTGGCCTTGCCTGCCCTCTGCATGCTGCCCACAGCTTTGAAGCCGTCACCCCGAGCTATCACCGAAGTTGCTGCCACTCTTCCCACCACAGGCGTGGACCCACTCGATCAGAACCCAAACTCCATTTCCTGTCCTCAATCCTTGGGATTAAACTCTGCACACTGGGTTTCTGTCTAGAGTCCTCTCTTTGTAACCCCATAGCTCCTGTGAAGCCATAAGCCCCCTGCCATACTGTGTAACCCTAGGCTTCCACATCTGCTTTGCAGGGACCCAGGGGGGTCTTCTGGATGAGGGGCTCAGGGCCTCAGCAGAAGCTGGGGGCATTCCCACTGGCACTCTGCCACAATCCCAGGATCTGTGTGTGTGTGTGTGTGTGTGTGTGTGTGTATGACCTGGAACTCAGGGAGGGAGAAGAGAGCAAAATCTGCCACGATATTCCCCTTCCCTCTGGATGCCCTCTCCCCAGAAAGCCAGAGAAAGCAGAACAGAGGCCAGCGCGTTCTTCCCAGCTCTCTACAGGGAGCTGATCAACAGGCAGACATTCATTTGGTGCTCACTGGCCAGAATCCCCTGGGGTGTTGGCTCAGGTTACTTGGATCCTTGGAAGAAAGACCCTACACAGTTTTATAATCAGAAACTTTCAGTTTATTTTGAATAAACCACTCAACATTGAGCAGGTGACATTGCCTCAATTTTTTCTTTGAAGAAAACAAAGATATATTGTAAATTCATGAAAACACTGTGCCTTCCTTTATCTTCCATCCTTTGTAGAGCAGAAAAATTCTGCCTGATCTTTCCCATCTTCCTGATGATGTTAGCAAAGGACAGCTACTGGGGGCACAAAAGGAAGCTCTCCACAGGTCAAGGGCTGCGGGCTACAGTGTGGGCACAGAACCTCCTACAGCTCCAATGGTTGGGGCCACAGCTGGGTACAAGTGCACTACGTGGTAGCCGTGCAGTCCAAAAAATGCCCAGGGACGCCCAGGGTGTGACTTAAGGCGCAGAGCTGCAACGCGGGTCCTGTGCCATGGCGGTAACATGGAAAGGACTTGGTAGAGAGGTAAAGGCTCCAGACGGCCAGGATCTTCCATGTGTCAATGCAGCATTGACACTCACCCTTAGATCCTGCAAGCAGGCATGCTTCTCCTTCAGTGAGCTCCCCGCTGTTCCAATTCTGGGCTCATTTGCTGCCCTCCTACCCTGTTTGCCCACTCCACCCCACAGTCCCTCCCCTGCAGATGACAGGAAGAAACAACCTGGCAGGGAGAGAGGGAGCCTGTAGCCAGCTGTGTACTCCATGATCCCAAGAGTCATAGCTGTCTTCTATCTTCAAGAGTGATTCAGTTTACAGCCAACATGGTACCTGGGAAATTGCTGACCCAGGTGAAAATGTCTGAATATCAAAGAACTTCCAATATAATATTCACAGATCTCCCAAGCAACTCTCCTAGGAGGTTAAGGAGGCCCTGTGGAGTTTGGACAGCTCTGCCAGCCTCAGAGAGGAGGCAGTCAACAAAGCCACAGAAACCCCAGGAATCACAGATGTAACTTTTAAAAGGCCCATAGGACCAAGCTCAGGACAGGGAGGACACCAGGCAAACCACCTGTTCCTTTGCACTCAACTGTGCAAAAGCTGGCCTTCTCCCCTGGCCAGCCCTTCTAGCATCATAGCTGAGACCACAAACCAAGGACTCTCCTGGCCTCAGACTTCCAGACCCCAGAGATGGTGTCCTCCAACAGCTGGACCCAGGCAAGTGGGAGAGCATCCAACCCTCCAGAGCAGCCACAGAACACACTCCAGATAACATAAAAAACAAGGCTCCTGAGGCAGGAAGACCAGTGCCCTTGGGAGGGCCATGTGACCTCTGACCCTGAAGTTCACCAGAGAACAGTGTAGCAGAACAGTGTCAGGTTATGGACGGCCATCTGTGAACCTGGTTAGTTACACCACCGGAATAATGGCACAAAAGAAGGAACCAAGGTAAAACAAATTTATCTGGGGGATAATTCCCTTTAAAAGTAGATCTCTATCTTTAGGAGACAAAATGAAACACTGTGCTGAACTCAAATCCCTGGTCTGGAGAGCTACAAGATCACCTATGCTCTGCTGTGGGCTCTGGCCTTAGTAGCCAGACCCAGGTAAACCTGGAAGAAAGATGGGCCCACAGACACACAGTGCCATCAGACAATGATACCCTGTGACAAGGCCCTTTTTTGTATTATCTCCTCACTGCAAGGTGAGGCAGGTGCACCAGACCACTAAAAGGTCTCTAAGGACCAGGCAGGAGGCATGATGTGATTCTCTGTGCTCCATTCATAGAGCCATTACATAGGCCAACTCCATTCCCCACCATCTGTCACCCACACTCTTCCCTTGGGACACCTACTGTGGCCAAACACGAGAATCTGGAAAACAGAGACCACCCTGGGGCCCTCTTGCAGTAGACCTTCTGAGGCAGGGGGGTGGAGGCAGTACATGTTGCATTCTAAGTAAAATAGCTAGAGGGTAAAACACTCCATTGCCAATTTATTTTTAAAAAGGGTTTTGTGTAATTCTATGTTTTTTTTTTTATAATTATACAACCTTTGAAAATTACATAAGTTGTAATGATCTAGTACTATTAATAGTCATTCAGAAAAAACTTTCCCTCCCTCCCAACAACCATCCAGGGGGAATTAAAAGTCCTGAAAAGAGGCCAATTCAACATGGCCTCTACCCTGGTAAAAACAAAAAGCAAAAAGAGGAGAAGAAAACGGAAGTGGACTAAGAGGTGTGCGGCCAGTGTCTCTCAGGAGCGGGGCCCTGGCTGTTGCCTGGGGTTGTGAAAGGCAGAGCCTGCAGCATGCAGTGGCAGCCCGGAGGCCTCACGGCCACATCTTCCGCACTCTGGCACGCCCATGTCCCACCTAGGTGTCATGGAAATCCTTCAGCAGGGTTCTCCTCCGCTGCTCTGCTATGTGCATCTGGTTCTCTAAGTCCTGCAGCAGGGAAGCAAGATGGTGCTCACACAGCCCGTCCTGCGCAGGGAGCAGCCAAAGCCACGTCCACTGTGTCAGGGGCTACAAGGACTCAAAGGCACGGCCCTCCCCACCCTTCTTAGCCGCTGCTTCTGGGCTGTATGCTAACAACCCTGTCAGTTTTACAGACCAGTCCTCCTGGCCTGCAACAGAGGGACTGAGAAGAGGGCAGCACTTACCCCTCTGTCATAGCTGTCTGCGCGCTCCACTTTCCATGACAGGTTTTCGATCTCAGCCTCCAGCTGAGCCTGCTGGTATTCAAACTGTATGGGCAGAGCAGGAGGGTCAAAAGGGGAGGGGCTGCAGCCAGGGCAGGGCCTGCAGATGGAGGGGCAGATGCAGCACCTCAAGCTCGCAAGAGCTACCGACAACCCTGACACTGTCCTCAGCGAGTAAAGCTAGTTCCTGGAGCCAGAGCCAGAACCCGATCAAAAGGCTACCTGAGAAGCACAGCCAAGTGGCAATGCACATTCTCCCTCCACCCCAAAAGAAACGGGGAGAATTTAAGCCACTGAAAAGAATGCTCCCAATATACAGGGAAACAGATGCTACAAAACCAAGTCACAATGGATTTTCAAAGACATGGCATTCAGAGTCTTTCAGCTTTCCAGCTCTTCTCCAAATCAAGTCTTAAAAATAGTCAAACCATCTGACTCAAATATTATTAAAACTGGTATTTATAAGCCTGGTAAATAATGACAGCTGCAACAATAAGCAGTTATAACAATAGAATGTGACATACATAATTAACATTAAATAGATAAAATAATTTTAAAAGGTTGAAAAATGCTAACAGTGGCCATTTCTTTCTGGTGGGATTATGGATGATGCAAATGTTTTTCTATGTTTTCCAACATTTAAATAATTGTCATTTACTTTATAATTAGGGGAAACAACCCACATCTAAGATATAGAATTAAACAAAGATGGAAAAGAGTCCACTATAATTTAGGGACATGCATGCTGGACATCGTCCTGTGCAAGGATGCTGGCCTTCCAAGTGGCCACAGAACTTAGTCGGTTAAGCGTCCGGCTTCGGCTCAGGTTATGATCTCACAGTTCATGGGTTCAAGCCCTGTGTTGGGCTCTGTGCTGACAGCTAGCTCAGAGCCTGGAGGCTGTTTTGGATTCTGGATCTCCCTCTCTCTGACTCTCCCCTGCTCACGCTGTCTCTCTCTCTCTCTCTCAGAAAAAACAAAACAACAACACATTAAAAAAAGAGAAATACAGCCGTTCAGGGGCTTTGACATATCTATCTTCCTATTACACAGAATGCCTATTTAGAGATGCCTAGAGGAGAACGAGCTTAAAAAAAAATGACAGTTTTTAGGGGATGAATCACTGGAATCTACTCCTGAAATCATTATTGCACTATATTGCACTAACTTGGATATAAACAAATAAATAGATTAAATATTTTTTAAAAATGACAGTTTCGTTCTGCCCTCCCAATAGCCAGGGTCTGGTGCCCACTCTCCTAGAAAGTGCTGGTCGACAAGGGCATCTATGAAGCTAAGAGGGCAGAGCAGAGGACTGCCTGGCCTTACCAGTTTCTTCCTGGGTCCAGACTCCATGTAGTACGCGTAGGGGTAAGTGTACTGCAGGGTATATCGGCACTGCAATAGGAGAGAGAGAAGGTACCTGTGAACCTAACCCACATGCATCTCAGGCAGCTCCCACAATTCTTACCCTACTATGCGAGTTAGCCTGGCCCTATAGGTATGGGTCCAAAAGAAATGAGGCCAAGCTAAATCACGGATGAACTGGGGGATAACACGGGAAAAGCTGAAACAAAAATGGCCAGAGAACACCAACAGTTCCTTTTTCAAACTGGGATTTATTACCAGCAGCTGCCTCAATGGCTCTTCCCTCGAGTCGGACATCAGAGTCCACACACACAATCTCTTTGCTCCCTCTGAGTGATGCATGGATGGGACAAAAGTAGAAAAGGGCTCGACCTCTCCCTAAGGAGAACTAGAAAAGGGCTCACAGGTACGTCCCTGGAGTAGCGGCAATAGAATTTTCTTCTTGGAAATGCCCTCTGCTGCCTGCAGCAGGCTGGGTCCTCAGTGGACGCAGCCCAAGGAAACGTGGGCACATAAGCAGACTGTACAGCAGACGGTACCAAGTGCTGCATTCCCTTGCCCCACACAATGTCTCCCATCCTCAGAGGTCTGGGCCTGACAGGGACAGGCGCTGGACCAGGGATAAGAAGAGTGAGGTGGTACACACCTTGGCCAAGAGCTTGGCAGCATTCTGTAGGTACTGCCAGTCGATCCATGTCCCCAGATTATTCATGACCCTCTCCTGAATCTTCTCATGAATCCGCTGGTATGTCTGCGCCTCTAGCTGTAAGCTCTTATTGTGGTTTTCCCACTACAGGGTACAGAGAAAGGAGAAAAGAGCAGAAGTCCACACAGCAGTTAAGAATGGCTGACACCCTGGCTGGCACAGGATGGCCACAGCTTCATCTAACTTATGGGGACTCTCTTTCCTTGAGTGCAGGAGGAGGACTTCTTCAGTCCACACTACTGAGCCTGTACAGAGCCCCTGTCTGCCTGCCAGATCACCCTACCCTCTAGGGCATTAAGCTCCAGCTCTGAGGACTAAATAAGGCTAGGTACCACCCACTGGTCTACTGTGCTTAGAAACCAAATGCACCATGCTCAGTGGACTTCTGAAGGGTCTTCCTGGGAGGAACTGCCCTCTAAATCTGACGATGGTAGAGGATGGAAAAGACTGATGGCCCCCTCACTGTCCTTTGCCGTCATTCAAAGAGCTTGTTGGTCCTGGCTGCCCTCTGGAACCTGAAAGCCACATTTATGGAGACATCACTCAGATCCACTGCAGGAGCTCCACTCCCTGAATTCTGTGTGCATAAACTAGCACACCAGTCACTGGGAATTCTACCTCAGAAGGCCAATTGGAAAAAGCCTACCCTTGAGGAGCAGTTGCAGAAGATGCCTACCCTCTCAAAGTAAAACAAGTACTTCTTAAGGGCCTCCCTGGCCTGGGCTTGCTGGCTCTGGTTGACAATGTCAGGATTCTCCTTGTACCGACTGCATTCATAGTACTCGCTGCCGTGGGTCTTCCAATCTCCTAGACACATCCAGCAGAAGTCTGTGAAGGATGGAGAAAGAGGCATTTATAATACCTACAAGAGAAGCCCACATTCCTCCAAAGGCACAGGAAAAGCAGTGGGACAGACAGATCCTGTGATGGGAGTGGTGTGGAGTTGTCACCTGACAGGAACTTACTAAGGGCGCCTCTTTCCAGAAGGAATGTGCACCTCTCCTCCTTGTCACATCCCACTGTCCCTGTAGCTTTTCCTCGATGATATGAACAGTAGCCAGCAGAACCTCTCAGTTCCGTGAGTACATAAGCTTTGTGCCTTTTTAACCAACACAGATAGATGCTGACTGTACAAGACCACTGGTGTGCTTTGTCAATGTCACTGAGAGAAGCAGAAACTTGTCCAATGAGGCCCACCTGTTCGTCCAGAACACACATTTGCCCTCCTAACTACCTCCACCCTCACGACACCTGTCCTAAGATTTTGCACATGAAGCTGGCAATAAAGGCCTTGCCCTATTTTGTCATTTTTAAAAAAAGAACAGTTCTAGAAAACCAACAGCTACCCAATAGTTCATACTCAGAATTATGAGTCTGCTTCTACACTAGGAAGCAAAGGGGGAAAAATAAAGATCCACTATACATCCAATGATTACCGTCTCATTGGAGAGGAGCCAACCACAGTTCTGTCACATGGCAAGAACCTGATCTATATCCTGTGTCTTCTATCCTATCTCTGCCAAAGACACCGACAATGGGTAAACCCTGTTTCCCAGGATTCTAGTTGGCTCACTGACTTACCCAGAAGACCTCTTATAAAACGTGGAGGAGCCAAAACCAAACCCAGAGACCCAGAGGTTGTTCCCTTCCCTCCTCCTGGAAGCCCTTGTCAAATAGCAGCAAAACTGTGATCCCCTTAATCAGCTAGGTTGTGCTTGCTATGGACGTAAATACCTCTACCTTGCTCAGGGTTGCCTGTATAGGCAGTAGAATTATACAGCAAAGCAAAGGATGGTAGCTAACTCTGGGTGGCAAGGGATGGGGAGACGTCTTATGGGAAGGGACACACACAGGGGACTTCTTGGGTACGAGGAATGTGATGGGGTGTTCACTTTGTCATTTCTCTCTACACCGTATGTATGTCTTATGCACTGTTCTAACAAAGTAGATGATACATGTCCCTCTCACTCAAATGCACAGGGTGGGATATCACTGAGGAAATATGCCACTACCCGTGGTCTATCTTCATTCTATACTTCATTGACTATTCCCTTCTAATGCCTTGCCATGTCCACTCTGATTACAGTGGGCTCCTGGGAAAACACACAAATAGCATTAGATGGGACCCTTACAAAGAGAAACCTTCAGGCTCCCCTGGTCAGCATCAAAGCTGCTGTGTAGACTTGGGTGGACGTACTTTCTACTTGAAGGAATTTTATTTATTTGATCTTGCAGGAAGGAAAGCAAAACCAACAGGTTCTATGAAAGCTACTTCTGGTAGACAAAGGAGATCCGAAAGGCCAAATCAAAAGACCTTGTAGAAACTTTATGAAACCTCGAAAGGAGACTATTATGTTACTCCTTCCAATAAAATAGCTGCTCTAAAAGGTATCTGTAAGGTAGCACAGATAAGCCCCAGGCTACTTACCTGTCTTGTCAAAAATAAAAAGAACACCCTGAAATCTTCTTGGATGACTGAGAATCATGAGGGTCTAAGAGTCATCCCAAACTTCACTTCTGACTAGATATGCGAGATGGCACCAGGATTATAAGAGGCACCGGAAAGTAATAAATCAAAAATCAAGAGCTGCTTTGGGTTGGTTATTTTAAGTGACTAAGGGTGCCCTTTGTTTTGTCACTTTACTACAAATGCACTCATTATTAAACAAGCACTGGAGACCCGTGCACAAGACTATGCCACTGGGCCTTGTGCACCACACCTGGGACTCACCGTGTTTACACTTGGAGCATTGCTGTCAGAGGGAAACAGAAGAAAACATGTTAAGGGCACGTTGACCAAAGGCTCCATGGCACATATGCAAAGGGTACAGGCTTCTGCTCACCATATGATTGCAGCCTCCATTCTTCTCAATGCAGATGTTACACTTGGGACACTGAGGAGACAGAAGGGCGCCGTTAAGCTCACGCACCACCAGGCCGGTTCTAAGACAAATTACCCAAAGCTCCTGGCACCCACGCCCCGTAGCTCATCGTGTGAGCCCTTCTGGGGAGGAGCATCTCACTTAAATATGGCGGGTCGCTGAGGCTGGAACAGCAATTCAAGGAAATGAGGTCAGCATGTTTGGCTCTGAAATACTCCAAGCACCGGCTGAGCCCCACTAAATCTTCCACCATCTGTCTCTGCCACGAGGCTGCTCAGATTAAGCACAAGCTGAGTCAGCACAAAGCCTTCCTGCTTGGGAAGAATGCCAAGCAGCACAAGAGCTACCACACCGGACCGAGTCCTGGTCAGCTTTCTTGGATTTCCACCTCCAAAAAAGGGCAAGGAAACAACCCTTAAAGCTCGCTTGCTCTCATTTGAGAGATGCCACATATAGGCAGTAATGCAGAGACCAGTCTGATGCTCTGCTCTGCCATGAAGCTATGTTTAATGTCACAGTCATAACTGCGTTGTGAGTGCAGCAACTCAGCATATGACTGGCATAGGGTAGGTGCCAAGTCACCCAGGATTCAAGAGGCTGAGGGCCATGCTTTCCCATGGGAAGTTTCAGAATGAAAACTGGGCATGCCCAGGCTTGCATGAGAGCCTCAGTCTTTATTACGTGTTGCTAATCAACCACCTCCCACCCAGGGCTGTTAAAACCTGGGAGGCATTAAAAAAATCTGGTTTTCTTCTAATTAGTTCCCCTATGGGTCAAATTTTTCCAGGTAGGTCAGCATTTTATTAAAATAAATGCAGCCAATTAAAATCATAGCATACTATGATAATCCGCTGCCAACTCTGCCAAGTCTGGGCAAGGGTCTGCAGCCTTCAGTAAGGGCCCTGGGGTCCTGAGTGTTCCGCTCTCAAAAGGCCAGCCTCCCAGGCGAGGCCCTAGGCAGCATTAAGGAGGGCAGATCCATGACAGGTAAGATACAGTCCTTACATCTTTAGTGTGAGCACTAATGTAGTTAGCTGTTTCGGAGTCATCTGCACATTTCGTGAGCCATTTCCGGATTGTGGCGCAGTCTGTGGGGGCGTGATACATCTGACGACACTTGAAACTTAAAACCAAAAAAGAAAAACATTCAAATAATTGTTAGGTCAGGGTCTTATGTTTTCAATTTTCCTTCTGTCCAAGCCAAGAGATACTGAATTAGAGCTTTTCAAATAAGTAAAATTACCTCTCAAGGCCTTTGGGATCTTTACTTACCCAGAATTACACTTAAATACCATATGTATTTCTCTTCAATCTAAGCACTTCGAAGATATACTCTCAATATACCCAAATAAAAACGCTTCTGTCTTAAGTATCTTGTGTGGGGTCAACCCTCTCTGAAAGGATGTCAAATTCAGAGTTCACTCAGAGGGCATGGTAAGGTGCTCTGAGACAGATAACTCAACTCAGACCTCAGGCAGAACTGAAATCCACTTTCTGAAAGCCTTGACTTAGCTCCCAGCCAGGTGTGCACAGTACGCATATCTGCCAGAACGTGTGCTGTCTGCATTTATCTGACAATGTCTGAAACTTAGAATTAGAAAAGAAAGGGGCGCCTGGGTGGCTTAGTCGGTTAAGCGTCCGACTTTCGCTTAGGTCATGATCTCGCGGTTCGTGGGTTCGGGCCCCGCGTCGGGCTCTGTGCTGACTGCCAGCTCAGAGCCTGGAGCCCGTTTCAGTCTGTGACTCCCTCTCTCTCTGACCCTCCCCTGCTCACGCTGTCTCTCTCTCTCCTAGAAATAAATAAAACATTAAAAAAAAAAAAGAAAAAAAAAAAGAAAAGAAAAACACTCCAATACTCACTGGGCTAGGGTTCTATATTTTAAATTTCCCTTTATCCAAGCCAACACTATGTTTGGGTAGTAAAGGCTCTCAGGTAAACAGCCTAACAAATGCCCCAGAGAAAGAAGTTCATAATGAGGGACACAAAGGGTGGAGAACAACTATGTTACTGGTTCTTAACCTTTGGTACACCACAAACTCCCTCAATGATGTCTTGAAAGGCAAGAACACAGGCACACACACATTCTCCATGTAGTTTCTCTGAAGTGCTACCATGAATCTTCCAGGGAGACATGATTAGGGACAGACACAGATGTGGACCTAAATTATGGCTCTGTTATCACCTTGCACACCTCCATTTCTTCCCCAAAAGCATACCTGTAACAGTATAAATTGCACAGAGTTGTGACAATGAAGGTAAAGTGATGAGAATAGTGTCTTTCCCATGGTAAGCCTTCAGTACACGTTAGCTATTCCTGTATCTATTGAATGGAATAAACCCCAAGTAGATGTAAACTACTTTTATGAATTACAGTGTTATAAAATTAGCCTACACAGGCGCCAACATGAACAAAGATTCAAATGCTTAAGGCTGTTGCTTTCAAATATAGGGATTTGGGATATGAGATGATCTATGCAGGCAAATACACACATAGACACAATCTCTGTGCCATGAGTCTTAGCAACATAAACCATAGCACAGTCTCCAAAAATCTGTGCTGCCTTTTTGTCTCCAGACTGAGCATTGTCAAATATCCCATGGAACGTGAGATGCTGGGTACACATTCTGCCCACTTGAACAGAGCCACTGTTTAGGCTCAAAGACGCTGTTTTTCCCAGTCCCACCCTCACCCACAGCAACAGCAGTGGTGCTTTGGAGGAGGATAAGGCAGGATCCCAGGGCTGCTCAGCACCCACACTCACTCTTACCAGAAGACCTCGTTGCACCGATTGCACTGTACTCGGCGAGCTCTAGGCTCCTGTACCCGAATAACCATGGGGCAGTCTGCACCAGGGCACAGCTGGAGCTGATAATGACTCTGTGAACACACCAAAGGGAAACAATGAGGACATCCCCTAGTCACTGCTTCCAAATCAGACCTCCCTGAGAGCTCAAACACCTTCTGTTCTTCCAGCTGATGACTTCTATCAAAGGAATTCAGAAAGGATGCCATAAAGAACAGCATTAGATAGAAACTGAAGACCTATAACGTTTAGCTAAAACTAGGCAGCAAATCAATAGAATGACCTAAGGCTAGATTATAAAATGGAATAAAGAATTGTGTCTATGAGATGAAAGGGCACGCACAGGCACCAGGTCTGGAAAGAAACAGAGCCCAATCAGTGGTGCATTTGAAGGTAAAATACCAAGTGAAAGAAGACGGAGAAAGACAAATACCATATAATTTCACTTATCTGCAAAACCTAAAAAAAAGGAATAAAACAAAAAGGGGAAGAGAGTAATGGGATGGGTGCAATGGGTGAAGGGGGTCAATTATATGGTGACGGATGGTAACTAGACTTACTGTGGTGACCACTTTGTAACATATAAAATATTGAATTATTACATTACACACCAATTTTACCTAAAAACAAAAACTCTGAAAGGCTCAATGACCTTCACGCATGTACCAAAGGCAGCAAACAGCACAAGGAACAAGGCACTGTTTATCCTGCAGCATGTGCATGAGAAGACCTAGATCACTAGTCAATCCAGTAAGCTCAGGCACAAAAGACAAAGATGAAAACCATGCTGCATAGAAGCAGCAAGCCTGAACTGGAAGCCCAATGGAGGGGATGGACTCCAAACACTGGAATCCTGAACAAGTTTTTAAATTGCACAAGAAGCAATACCCCTTCTCTGTGCTAAATCACACAGGGAACTAAATTCAAGAGCAATTCCTGAGATCTCCATGACTCATGTTCATTCCGTGACATACATACAGTAGCTTGTTAAGCACCTGGGTAGAAGGTGAATGTGCCTGACCATTCTACCAGAGAAAATCAAGGCTCAGAGAGGTAAAATTATGGGTCGAAGGCTACACAGCGAGGAAGTAAGAGACCTGGGATTCATGTTATTGTCAGTCTGACTCCAGGGCCTATGTTCTTCACTATCACTTTAGTGGTTTCTAAACTTTTAAAAAAAGCCATGGAGCTCTTTCTTCAAATTACACCAAGTAAGGGGGCACCTGGATAGCTCAGTCAATTAAGCATCCAACTTTGGCTCAGTTCACGATCTCTTGACTTTGAGCCCTGCATCAGGCTCTGTGCTGACAGCTCAGAGCCGGAACCTGCTTCGGATTCTTTGTTTCCCTCTCTCTCTGCTCTTTCCCCCGCTCATGTTCTGTCTCTCAAAAGAAAAAGAAATATTGAAAAAAAAAAAAATACAGCACCTAATGGCAGCTTAGTCTACAAAGTAAGTGTGATGAGAATGGATGGGAAGTAGGCCCAGGAAGACAGAGGAGCAACAACAGGGGCTAGTCATACCTCCACATAGTCCCTAAAGAGGTAGCGCCTGTATTTATCTCTCAATTCTTCATTGGGCAGCAATGGAAACACAAAGTCCTCTGGTGTTCGGAGTGGGCAGTCCTGAGCCATGCAAGAAACTCCTGTTGAACAAAGGCAACACGATGGACAATTGCATTGCAGAAGACACAACAAAAATGTATTTCCCCAATTAGTTCGACCAACAAATTCAGATTCCATATAAGAAACCCTTGAAGCCATGGAATGTATTAAAAAAAAAAAAAAAAAAAGAGAACAAGAGAGAGAAATTAATATATTTGCAGTGATGCAACTAAAACTTCTCTGAAATTACATATGTATCACAAATAGCACCACCAAAAAAGCAGTATTATCTAAAAAAATCCTATACAGTTCTTCAGGCACCTGGCTGGCTCAGATGGTAAGGCATGCTACTCTTGATCTCGAGGACTTCAGTTAAAGCCCCAACTGGGCACAGAGTTTAATTAAAAAAGAAAAAAAATGGTGGTGATGGATGCCCAAGTTAAGCGTCTGACTTTGGCTCAGGTCATGATCTCAGTTTGCGAGTTTGAGCCCACTTTGGATCCTCTGTTTCCTCTCTCTGCCCCTCCTCCAATCACGTACAAGTGCATGCTCTCTCAAGAAAAAACATTAAAAAAAAAATCCTATAGGGTTCTTGGCTAACAATTTCATTTTGTGATGTTTAATATTATGTGTAAATGATTTCCACCCAACACAATGAGATTCTGCAGACATCATTAACGTGATGCTAATTTAGATCCGATATCAAGTCATACTGTAACAAATACAGTATGCAAATCCTAGAACCAATCACCAAATCTGAATTGTGTTATGTTACCTAGATAGCAGCAATGTCTGAGTGTTTCTGAGTTATGGCTGCCATTTGGGCTATCAAGATAGGGTGGGCAGCTTAAAGGACAGTTCACACAAATGTTTACATATGCCCAAACAGTAGTCTTAATCATCTCATTTTGCTCAGGACTGAGAAAAACCTTGCCACTGTTCAACCTGATGTGTTTGGAAATGGAAAACAATGGTTCTGACAATAAAAACCTCAATCAGGGTCAGAGGAAAACATGCAGTTGACCTGAGTACCTAAAGCGGCAGAGTTGGAAGATAAATACTTCAGGCTAGCCTTTTACAAATTCTGTGGCAAACTCACCCACACCCACGCCGTCCTTGACAAGTACTGAGCAGTGCTGCTCCCAGCAGCTACGGCAAAACTGGTGCTGACAGGCCAGAGAAAGTAGGTTTTCCTTCCGCACAAACTGCATACACACTGCGCAGTGGTGAGGGGGGTGGGCTGTGGGAACCTGTGGAGAGGTGGAACAGAATGAGTAAAGAGGAGCCTCTAGAGCCTGGGAGGCCCCAGGGGTGCCTCATGCAGCTAGCTGGTTGGGAAGCGATACTGACCCTATATCAAGTGTCAGAGCTCAACTGCAACACGTGGGCTCTGTGGGTCCCAAGAGTTCTGAACAGAAAGCATAGATGAGGAAGACTTCCTAAAGGAGGTGGCACCTGAGCTGGGCTTGGACAATCTCTAGGATTCAGAGAGGCAGAAGAAGGCTGAAAGGAGAACTTACAGTAATTTGTAATGTTGGGCCGAAAAGCTCAGGATTTCCAAATTGCCAAGGTCCTTAGAGGTCATTCAGTTCAACTTCTGCTTTTAGAGGCTACTGGGTTCTTTTATAAACTGCCTCATTCAATGCACAGAGCTGTCCCTCAATGAGTACTACAGAGGCTCTTAGAGGCTGAGCTGAGTGTGTAAAGCTTCTAACAGCCCTACTGCAAGTCTACTTGTCAAAGACAGTGGTTTCCCCATTATTAATGCCCAAAAGAGAAAATATTACCGTTTTTACTAAGTCACAACTCATCCTTAACACACTGTAGAGATGTCATGTACAATTAATTTAGAGGGATGAGGAAGGCTCCTCCTAGGAAAGGAACTTTCCAGGATGTGGGCAAATAACTGCAAAGCTTGAAATCCAGAATGCATGCCATGCTACACAAACTGGCAGACAAAGACAATGTGAGGACTCCTGACCCAAACTACAAACTGATGGAAAAGTCCACTGTGGATTTACATTAGGTTCTTCTTAGCTCACTGGGAATACAAAAACAATTTGAAGAAAAAGACTGTATTCTCATGTTTATTCAGTATGCTCTTGAAAATTTTCTCCTAATGGGGCGCCTGGGTGGCTTCGTCGGTTAAGCGTCCGACTTTTGCTTAGGTCATGATCTCGCGGTTCGTGGGTTCGGGCCCCGCGTCGGGCTCTGTGCTGACTGCCAGCTCAGAGCCTGGAGCCTGTTTCAGTCTGTGACTCCCTCTCTCTCTGACCCTCTCCTGCTCACGCTGTCTCTCTCTCTCTCTCCTAGAAATAAATAAAAAAAAATTTAAAAAAAAAAAAAAGAAAAGAAAAGAAAAGAAAATTTTCTCCTAAGAGCTACCAAAGTGGTATTTTGAGCCCTGATTCTCCCTCTTAAAGAGTGTTTCCTTGGGGCACCAGGGTGGCTCAGTCAATTAAGTGTCTGACTTGGCTCAGGTCATGATCTCATGTTTAGCGAGTTCGAGCCCCACATCAGGCTCTGTGCTGACAGCTCAGAGGCTGGAGCCTGCTTCAGATTCTGTATCTCCCTCTCTCTCTGACCCTTCCCTGTTCATGCTCTGTCTCTCTCTCTCTCTCTGTTAAAACTACACATTAAAAAAAAAAAGTGTTTCCAACATGGCCCTTATTTATTTGACAAATGTTTGTGAACACTCAAATACACAGGAAATTGCTATGCACTGTAAGATATAGTTCCTATCCTTAAAGCACACACAGTGTGGCAGGGGGGCTGAAAGGATGAGTGAGTCATTATATCACACATGCAAAGACTTCAAGACATAACTAGAGGAGTTTGGAGAGGAGAGATCACAGGAGACAGGCTTTGTGAGAGACAGCTCAATTTTGGTCTTTAAAGATGAGTTCCACTCCCACAGGCAAAGATAGGGACAGGGTCTGGACATTCCAGGTGAGGGATAGCATAAGCAGAGTCAAAGAGGTATGCAATAAGCTTGGGAACACCAAGGAACCCAGCAGGAATGGAATGCAGGCTGTGTGTAAGTATAAAGAGCAAGGTGAGGCTGGAGAGGGCCACAGGACTGGCAATGATTTATTCTTCACCCTTGAGGAAACTCCTCAAACTATAATGGAAATGGAAGATTTAGACCCATGTTGGAACAAAAATCTCAGGCATGCTGTACTAGAAACAAAGCAAGATGGTTCTCAGTAACACCATAAGCCACAGCAAAAGCCATGTGTGTCAGGAGAAGCCTTGCTCAAGTGGGAGACACTCACATGTTTTGAGGGACTGGGCTGAACTCGAGCCTCAACAAGCAGCTGAGCAGAATTAGACTTGTATCTAAAAAACAAAAAGCAGAAATAAAGGGAATCAGAAAGGAAGACAAACATTTTAACCTCTGAACAAAATCAGAAGACACCAACATGTGCTACAGTTGCACTAAAGTGTCTTTGTCTCTAATTACTGTCTGACAGAACCAAGCTTCCTTTTCCATTAGTATAAATACTTTTTCCTCTTTCAATTTTTTTAGTTCTCAATTGGTATAAGAATAATAACCAGGCTTCAAAGATAGCAAACTGCAAGAAAAGTACTTGTGAAATACTGTATCTGTTTTCAATCCCTTTCTGGAAATATAATTAAAATCTTTTTTTTAATTTTATTTTTTAAGTTTTTTAAAATGTTTTATTTATTTCTGAGAGAGAGAGAGAGAACAGGGGAGGGTCAGAGAGAGAGGGAGATACAGAATCTGAAACAGACTCCAGGTTCTGAGCTGGCTATCAGCCCAGAGCCTGATGTGAGGCTCGAACCCATGAACTGCGAGATCATGACCTGAGCTGACACTGGACACATAACTGACTGAGCCACCCAAGTGCCCCAATATAAATAAAATCTTAAAAAAATAAGACACGTGGGTGGCTCAGTTGGTTGAACAGCCAGCTCTTGATTTCAGCTCAGGTTTCATACCAGTTTGTGGGAAGGAGCCCTGCTTCAGGCTCTGCACTGACAGGGTGCAGACTGCCTAGGATTCTCCCTTTCCACCTCTCTCTGCCCTTTTCCTGCTTGAGGGCACTCTTTCTCTTTCAAAAATAAATAAATAAATAAAAATAAACATTAAAAAAAAAAAAAAAGACACAGTAAATGCAAAGCACATAGGGTTCCAGGCTGGCTCACTGGAGAAGCACATGGCTCTTGGTCTTGGGGCCATGAGTTCAAGCCCCATGTTGGGTGTAGAGATTACTTAAGTAAATAAAAACTTAAAAAAAAAAAAAAAAAAAGCAGGGGTATCTGGGTGGCTCAGTTGGTTAAGTGTCCAACTTTGGCTCAGGTCATTTTCTTAAGGTTCGTGAGTTCGAGCCCGTGTCAGGCTCTGTGCTGACAGCTCAGAGCCTGGATCCTCCTGCTTTGGATTGTCTCCCCCTCTCTCTGTTCCTCCCCTGCTTGCAATCTATCTGTCTGTCTCTCTCTCTTGGGGGGGAAAAAAAAGCATAAAGAAAAACTCTGACAAATTATGTTACATTTAAGAACATTAGTTCAGGGGCACCTGCATGGCTCAGTCCATTAAGCATCCAACTTTGGCTCAGGTCATGATTTCATGGTTCGTGGGTTCAAGCCCCCATTGGGCTCTGTACTGACCGCTCAGAGCCTGGAGCCTGGAGCCTGCTTCGTATTCTGTGTCTCACTCTCTCTCTGCCCCTCCTCCACTTGTTCTTTGCCTCTGTCTCTCAAAAATAAATAAATGTAGGGGTGCCTAGGTGTCTCAGTCAGTTAAATGTCCGACTTCAGCTCAGGTCACGATCTCACAGTTCGTGGGTTCGAGCCCCACGTCGGGCTCTGTGCTGATAGGTAGCTCAGAGCCTGGAGCCTGTCTTCAAATTCTGTGTCTTCCTCTCTCTCTGACCCTCCCCTGCTCACGTACTCTCTCTCTCTCAAAAATAAACTGAAAAACATAAAAAAATTTTTTAAATAAATAAATAAATATGAAACATTTTCTGGGGGAAAGAAAAAAGCTCCGAGTTGACAGTGCAGAGCCTGCTTGCGATTCTCAGCTCTCTGTACCTCACCCCACCCTTCTCTCTCAAAATAAATAAATAAACTTAAAAAAAAAAAAAAATCAGTTCATCAGAACACAGCATAAAGTTAAAATCTCAGCTATATAAATAGGAGATAATTCAAAACATATATAACAGGCAAAAGACTGATATTCAGAATAAAAAACAAAATAGCCTATAAATCCATTTGAAAAGACAAAATAACAATTAAAAAATGGGAAAATGACAGAACAATTCATAGGAAAAAAAGCACAAATGACGATTAACAAGAAAAGATGCTCAACTTCCATAATAATCTGGGATACTGAAATTAAAAAACAATTAGATGCCATTTATACCCACCAGATCGTAAAACTTTAAGGGTGACAGTATCAAGAATGTTCATACCACTGGTGGGCGTATAATATGGTACAATCACTTTGGAAACATTTTGTCATTTAGCAAAGCTAAAGAAACACACACCCTATTGCCCAGCAACTCACTTCCTACACTCAACCCTAGAAAAATTATATGACATTAAGGGTCATGCACACAAGTTTTCAGAGTTGCATTATTTGTAACAACAAAAAAAACAAAACTCACAATCACAAATGTTTTTTGACAGGAATATGGATAGGATGTCCTAAGATGCATCTTTGTTAATTTAAGAAGTTTAAGAATACAGACAGCACGATTCCATGCCTGTAAAATTCTAAAAACATCCAAAATTAAAGGATATATAATTTAAGAATAAATAGGAAAATGATCAATACCAAACACAAGATACTGGTTGCTATGGAGAGGAAGGAAGGAGGTGTGGTCAAGCAAGAACCGCCACCAGAAACTTCTGAATAAAGTTTCCACACTTAAATGTGTTTGCTTTATCATTCTTTTTTTTTTTTTTAATGTTTTATTTATTTCCAGGAGAGAGAGACAGCATGAGCAGGGGAGGGTCAGAGAGAAAGGGAGTCACAGACTGAAACAGGCTCCAGGCTCTGAGCTGGCAGTCAGCACAGAGCTGGAACCCACGAACCGCGAGATCATGACCTAAGCCAAAGTCGGACGCTTAACCGACTAAGCCACCCAGGCGCCCCTATCATTATTTAAAACCTATACATCACACACGTGTGCACATACATACATTTTGAAAAAGAAATATTTCATAATAAAATTTTTTTTTCTGGAATGAGGAATGAAATATATACATTTAAAAATAAAAACAGGGGCACCTGGGTGGCTCAGATGGTTAAGCATCTGACTTTGGCTCAGGACATGATCTCACGGTTCGTGAGTTTGAGTCCCGCACAGGCTCTGTGCTGACACTCAGAGACTGGAGCCTGTTTCCGATTCTGTGTTTCCCTCTCTCTCTCTAACCCTCTCCTGCTCATGCTCTTTCAACAATAAATAAACATAGGAAAATTAAAAAAGTAAAAATAAATAAATAAAAACAGGGGGTGCCTAGGTGGATCAGTCAGTTAACCATCAAACTTTGGTCTGGGTCATGATCTCATGGTTCGTGAGTTCGAGGTATTAGCGCAGAGCCTACTTTTGATCCTCTGTCTTCCTTTCTATCTGACCCTCTCCAACTTGTTCTCACTTTCTCTAAAATAAACATTAAAAAAATAAAAACAAAAATAAAAACAGGGGTGCCTGGGTGGCTTAGTCAGTTAAGTGTTCAACTCTTTGAGTATGGCTCAGGTCATGACCTCATGGTCGTGGGATCGAGCCCCGCGTCAGGCTCCGTGCTATCAGCATAAGAGAATCCCTGCTTGGAATTCTCTTTCCCTTTCTACCCCTCACTCACTAGCAAACACTCTCTTTCATGATAAATATATATTTAAAAAATAAAAACAATTCTCATGTGGCACTAAAAGTTCCACACAAAACCCAGGAAAATGAATTACCCAGAAATGAGGAATCTGAGCAGGGAACAATGTTTCATATATGTGACTTCCTTATTTCACTTAGAATGCCTCCTTCAACTGCTTTTATTCCTGCTTCTCACACTAGTAATCTTAATGTCTTAAGCCATCTTGTCCATTCCCGAGTTAGGACACAGAGTTTGGACAGTAAGAGGTACCCCACTGCTGGAACCTACATGGTTCCAGAACTGTGGGCAGTAGAAACAGCAGTGCAGACAATGGAATTTCACCCAGAAGTCTACCTAAATGTATTCGACTCTTGAGGATAGAGAGAGAGAGTGCAGTGGGTGGAATCAGGCGCGCACGTGCTTCTTCCTGAGTGAGCTAAGCTGCTCCAGCGGGTACAGCCACCCCAGTTATGTTTAGCCTGGAGAAGGAAAGGCATGACCTTCTTTCCTCTGAAGATAAATGGATCACACCATTCAAAAGAAGACTCAGTGGTGTGTGAAAGGGCAGGAGTGGCAACCAGTGATTCTCACCAGTGGCAATTTTGTTCTCCACGGATTATTTGGCGGTATCTGCTCATCTTTTTGATTTCAAGGACCTGGGGTGCTAATTTCAGTGTCCCAGATTATTATGGAGGTTGAGTATCTTTTCATGTCAATGGTCACTTGAGTTTCTTTACTGTGAAACACTTGTTCGGTCTTTTGCCCATTTTTTTTTAAGTTTATTATTATTTTTTGGTGGGGGAGGGATGGAGAGAGAGAGAGAGAGAGAGAGAGAGAGAGAATCCCAAGTAGGCTCTGCACTGACAGAGCAGTGGGGCTGAATGTGGGGTTCAAGCTCAAGAACTGCAAGATCATGACCTGAGCCAAAACCAAGATTAGAACACTTAATCAACTGAGCCACCTATATACCTCTTGCACATTTTTTATTGTTATTTTGTCTTTTGAAATGGATTCTGCCAAACCTCCTACAATTCACAGAACAGTGTCCCCACAATACATTATCTAACCCAAAATGGCAGAAGTGCTGAGGATAAGAAACCCTAAGCTAAAAGAAGCACATGCCTATGAAGGTAAGGCATAGGGACTCTTCTCAGGGGGTGCAGAAGAAGGAACCCCTCTTCCTGAGAACTTTCAGGATACCTCAAGACTCCAAGGTCAGAGTCAAGAGCTCTGGTTCTGATGGTAAGGTGACCTATCTTTTCTGAAGGTAATATTCAAAAGTATGCTGCATTCCCCATTGATATATCCAAAAGAAACAAATGGAGATGTTGGCAACTGTTATCTAGAAGGGCACTGATTACAAATTAAAAATGGTTAAAAAAACTGAACTAACTCCACTGTCCACAACAGAAGTTTGGAAAAAGCACAGAACATCTATTATGATAAAATACTGAGCCAAAAATAAAACTGAAGGAGAAAGAATATGCAGACATGGAAAAATATTCACCACTTACAGAGAGGAAAAAAGGATATACAATACGATCCAGTGTTTTAAATGTGTAATATGAACACTGCAAGGATATACTTCAAAACATAAATAACCACCACTAGGTGGGTGGGCAGAGAAAGAAGCTAGGGGTGATGCCATCTCTCTTCCTCCAAACACCTTACCTGTCCAATATCTCTGCAACTTGCCAGTGGAAATTAACTAATATAAGTTTAGCAACGGAATGAGATACCTAAAAAGAAAGAAAAAAAATCAAATTACAACTGTAGTTTCTTTCACAGAGCTCCACATTTTGAGAAGTGCAAAAATTCATGTCTACAGCAGGCCGAGGCTTGATTTCCAAATTCTTCCTCTTGGTAGTCTGCTTCATCTTTTAAGTTCAGACTCTTATGATTGTAGTGATTTCCCAGATCTTTTTGTCTTTTCTTTTTCATTAATGACCCTTTCAAGAAATCAGTCTAATTTGAAACTTAAGCAAAACTACCCTGTCTACAGTTAACAACCCAGTATCCAATTTAAGCAAAAGAGCTGTGTTCCCTAATATGATCTATGTTCCCGCAAGCTGCTGTAGGAGCCACACATGGGAAGTGCACTTCTAGTTAGGCCCATTACTTGCAGAAAATCTCTAGGCTTGGACTTCTTGTATAATTCCAGCAAAACAAAACACTACTGTTTAAAATCTCCCAATTTCTGCCAACCAATGAGCCCTGATTGCAGAAAGATTTAAAATAAAAACCTTGGGGGCACCTGGGTGGCTCAGTCAGCTGTTAAGTGTCTGGCTCTTGATTTTGGCTCAGGTCATGATCTCACCACTCATGAAACTGAGTCTTACATCGGGCTCTGTGCTTACAAGTGTGGAGCCTACTTGGGATTAGCTCTCTCCAGCTCTCTGTTCTTCCTGCATGTGCTCTCTCGGTCTCAAAATAACTAAACAAACTGAAAAAAGTATATGGCAGTTTTGTGGCCCCTAACTTTTAAAGCACACTTGTTATTTCTCAAAAATAAATAAACATAAAAAAGGGGGGGGCACTTGGGTGGCTTAGTCAGTTAAGCATCCGACTTCAGCTCAGGTCATGATCTCATGGTTCGTGAGTTTGAGCACCACATTGGGCTCTGTGCTGACAGCTCAGAGCCTAGAGTCTTCTTCAGATTCTGTAACTCCCTCTCTCTCTGCCCCTCCCCTCACACTCTCTCTCTCCCTCAAAATAAACATACATTAAAATTAAAAAAAAAATTTTTTAAAAACACACTGGTTATTGCTGTCAATCTCAGAAGGTGCTTTGAGCTAGCAATTCTACTTCTGTAAATCTTTCTGAAGAAATCATAGAGGATATGTGTACCGCAGTGTTTTACAAGAGTGAAAAATTAAAAAATAACCTAAATGTCCAATAAAAAGAAACTAGGTAAATAATATATGACAGATCTGTGCAATGAACTATGCAGTCATTGAAAAGGATGTTACAGAAATAAGTTTGACATAGGAAGAAGTTCACATTTTAATGATAAGCTAAATAACCCAGTAGTAAGATAGCAGGTACATGTTATAGCCACAAGATCTTGTTAATAGGGGAAGCAGACTAGTTACATAAAGGAACAGTCTGAGGTTGTCAAGTATAGGGTGGAGCCACAGAAGATGGGGTTGTGTTTGGAGGTCTAGATGAGGCTTCCCAGAGAGAACATTGCACAGCAGGAGGGGGTCTCTCAATCAAGGAGAAATGAGGAACACACTTGAGGCCAGGGAGCCAAGAGAACACACAGAACCTTAGTACTCTGCTCACTAGACTGAGTCTTCATTAAAAAAAAATTTTTTTTAAACATTTATTCATTTTTTGAGAGAAAGAGAGAGAGTGTGTGTGAGTAGGTGAGGGGCAGAGAGAGCGGGAGACACAGAATCCAAACCAGGCTCCAGGCTCCAAGCTATGAGCACAGAGCCTGACACGGGGCTCGAACCACAAGCGGTGAGATCATGACCTGAGCTGAAGTCGGACTCTTAACCGACTGAGCCACCCAGATGCCCCTGGACTGAGTCTTTAAACAGGAGATACCAAGGAACTGTAAGGTAGTGCATGCTTGGCCCACAGATAAGAACTGCAGTGGGGGAACACACAGTGACATGTAACCTCTTCTCCTAGAGCTCAAGTTATTCCTGAAAGGAGACGGGTGCACACTTACTAAACAAGGGCATGTCCAAGTGCATAATCAGTGTCAAAGGTTGTGCATGGAGTGAATGACTTTCTGTCCTATAGCCCATGTACATTTGGAGAAAACCCAGGCCTCAAGACAGCACGCTTCACTAAGGATGGGTGTCCCCACTTCCCTTCCATGCACGGGACTCATCAGACTCATGCATGTTGCTATAGTATCTTCTTGTTGAGGACCATGGAGACTTTAGGTCCAGGATTCCTGAATTATAACTGACATTTTTCTAACTGTGGCCATAACAAAACTATTTATCCATAGCAAACTACTATCACAAAATGAAAATAGATACAAAACACACAGTTTAAACTTAAATAACGGGGCGCCTGGGTGACTCAGTCGGTTAAGCATCTGACTTCGGCTCAGGTCATGATCTCATGGTTTGTAGGTTCAAGCCCCATGTCAGGCTCCGTGCTGACAGACCACAGCCTGGAGCCTGTTTCAGATTCTGTGTCTCCTTCTCTCTCTGCCCCTCCCCTGTTCATGTCTCTCAAAAGTGAATAAATGTTAAAAAAAATAAAAATAAAAATGAAAAATAAAACTTAAATATCGGATTTGAATGTAGCTTCTGGCTACAAACGTTCTTAAAAACCTGACTGTGATACTGTTTTTGGATGACCACCTCACTGGAGCCTTTTCTATCATGGAAAGATAGAAATGGCTATCTTACCTAATGGAGCCCAGTCAGACCTACACCATTTTCTGTCCTGACTTCTAAATGTCTTGGCATGCTGTGGCACTAAACCATCTGGGAAACCCAGAGGAGTCCTGGCCATGTCCAACAGCCACCTCCTCTTTCTCACCACAGATGGCTTAGGTGAAGCCTTTAAACTAAGAACAGGGATCAGGCTGCCTCTCACAGATCCACAAAATCCAGAACTTTACTGGACACAGGGAGGCCACTCAATAGACATCAATCATTAAATGACATCGTATCTGTAACTTGTAGATTTTCAAAATGAACTTCCTCAGCTTTCCTTAAGAAACAATGTTAACACTCTACCTGGTCTGATCCCTTGATTTGAACAGCACTAACAGCAACAACAAAACCTCAGAATTAGCACACCATTATGGAAAGTCTGGCCCTCTGTTGAAACAAATTTTATTAATGACTGCAAATCCCCTAATGACCAAATGAGAATATCCCAGCAGATTTGAGTTTTGGTGAGAATAGATTATGTGAAGAGAAGACACATACATCTAGCACTTTATGAAACTGACAGTAGAGTAATATGAATCCACTCTTTCAGTGCTAACAGCCGAGAATACATCAATATATACAAGAGGGTAGGCACACGTGTGTCAGCTGTATGCACCCCCCACTAGCCTTCTGCCAGAAGTTTTACTGTGGTCCCCACGTCACAGATGGGGGTATGAAAATGGCCCATACTGTGTCCCTAGTATATTACAGAAAATCAGGGATTCTTCCCTCAAGAATCCATTATAAACCTGAAGAAACTCAGAGACAATTAATTTAAGCAAAATGCAGTGTGACTGCACCTTGCCCTATAAATGGACACAAGGGAATCCATAGGGAAGTCAGGTTCCAAAAAGCTCTCTGGCAAAAACAGCACAGGGGTAGAGGAAGAGCACCTAGAAGAATTTATGCTTAAAAAACAAAACAAACAAACAAAAAGAAAGTAGTCTCAGCAGTGAGGCCACCTCATCCCTGATTTGGGGTCACAAGACAGAACTGCACACACACCCCAGCAGTATCTCAGGGGAAGCAACCATAGGTGATTTGGGGGTGGAAAAGGATGTGTGTTGGGGGAGGGGCACTATTTAAGCCATCTTCCACAAGAGGGCCAGGACAAACCTTGGGGAAGATATTAAAACTGTCTTAGGAAAGAACTCCCTGAGTTTTCACACCATTACTGTCTAATGCTCAGACAGCTATTCAGGATCTATCAGAGTCAATACTTCACAACTGGGGAGTCTTCCATTCTTCTCTGTTTTTAATTGTGGAAAATAGAACCAGCACAATCAAGATGAACCCTTGCTAGGCTGTTTTGATCAACAAATTAACAACCTATTAGTACTATTGTCTGGACCCCTCCACTCCATAACCTTTAGGATTATCTTCCTGAAACCCTGACAGAAAAGTATTAAGACGGGGCGCCTGGGTGGCTCAGTCGGTTAAGCATCCGACTTTGGCTCAGGTCATGATCTAACGGTTCGTAGGTTCAAGCCTCGTGTCAGGCTCTGTGCTGACAGCTAGCTCAGAGCCTGGAGCCTGCTTCAGATTCTGTATCTCCCTCTCTCTCTCTGACCCTCCCCTGCTCATGCTGCCTGCCTCTCTCTCTGTCTCTCTGTCTCTCAGAAATAAATAAAACACTAAGAAAAATTAAAAAAACGTTTAAAAAAAAGAATCAACTAATGGGTTTTGTTAATTTTCCTTTTTTTTTAAGTTTTTAAAAATTTATTTATTTTGAGAGATCAGAGAAGGGGCAAAGAGAGGGAGAGAGAAAGAGGGAATCCAAAGCAAGCTCCACGCTGTCAGTGCTCGACGGTGGGGCTCGAACTCACAAACTGTTAGGTGACCTGAGCCAAAATCAAGTCAGGCACCCCTGTTAATTAACCAATATTATTTGGTTTAGATTTCATTTATTTTTTTCTTTATTATTTTTTTTTCTCACTTGCTTTGAGTTTAGTCATCTTTTTATAATTTCTTAAGGAGACTTAAGGGTTTTTTTTTTTTCTAGTATAAACATTTACAGTTGTAAATTTCTCCCTGGCATCACATTAGCTGTATCACACCAAATTCTGTGGTATTTTCATTGTTAAGTGCAAGACATTTTCTTTTTTTTTCCCTTTTCTTTTCTCTTCTCTTCTCTTTTCCAGTATGTGTTTATTTTTGAGAGAGAGATTGCACACAAGTGGGACAGGGTCAGAAAGATAGAGGGAAACAGAGTCTGAAGCAGGTTCCAGGGTTCGAGCTGTCAGCGCCAAGCCTGACACAAGGCTTGATCCCACAAACTGTGAGATCATGACCTGAGCGGAAGTCAGACACTTAACTGACTGAGCCACCCAGGT